CTAATCTAAAGTAGTAACGTGATATCTTTGGTTTAAGTACATATGTTTCGCGCAGATATCTATTAGCGCGTGCTTTTAGAGAGTCGACTTCGTAACTTAATGTTAATATTTCATATTCATATTTCAGTCACAACCAACTCATACTAACGCAAAAGATTTCTTTCTACTAAGTCTTATCTTACAGTTACTTTTTGTCTTCAATATTATAGAAATAAATATTGAGATGCGAGTATTAAACGAACATAATATAGAACTATGATAATAGTTACTTTAGAATTAGCACATTTCTATGTCGATAACAAATTATAACTTGAAAACATAGTTAACTTTTGAACGAATATCATTAATTCCGTGGCATTAAGGGAAGAACCTGTAACGGGTCGAAGGAGTCGATTTAGTAAATGTTTTAGTAGCATAAGAGAATCCCGGAAGATCACCTAAGTTTCCAGATATTGCACAAGGTCCTGCCCCCCCCCCCTCCCCTTAAGGTATATCAACATAAAAAACAGTGTTAGTAAGTAACACTATTGCACATCCAGTGATTAGCATTCGTATCACATCGATGTACCTTGCGAACAATGTTGGGACATTCCTTTTGAATTCGAGCCCAATCCGCAGGCGGTCGTTTAGCGTAAGGACCTGTTGAACACAGCAATAGAAACTCGTACGTGAGTTCTCTGACTTCTGGAACTAAATAAATGTTCAATTAAACATTGCCCATGAGCCTTGAACTAAACAGCTCGATATCCGATCGTAGCTGAAACAATTACCTTCCTGAGTCGAAGGATTTGCTTCGGAAATTATTAGTGGCTTATATATTTCTTCGCTTTCAGAAGTGGCTGAACTGTCCATAATCAATTCTCGGTTCATATCATGGATATTACTTGGTGTCAACGATGTTTTTTGCAAGTTGGAAGACGAGACAGAATAAGCAGGCTCTTCTTCAAAAAAGTATTCTATACCGCTCGTGAAATTTTCAGAATCTCCCAAGAAATATTCATCCAAAACCAGCTTAGCAGTCTGATACATATGCAGTAATGTATATTAAAATATATTCCGTGATGTATTCTTGATCAATATAAATTTTGTCAATCATAGATTTGTACGTAGACGTTTAAGATTCAAAAATATGATTACCCTAACAAGATCCAGATTACTTCCTGTAATCTTCAAGGATTGGTTACCAACTGTAACTGTGTATTTATATTCGCCTATACTGGCGTCGTTGGTGGAGAAGCTGTGGAGGAGCGAACGTACGCGAGAGTTTTGTTGCTGATGTTGCAATCGGTTGCTTTCATCTGATGCACTGCTATTTAACGAAGAACTCGAACCTCCCATAGCTCCCTTTTCTCCTCCACCTTGCTCCAATCTCACCGGTGATGCATTTCGTTGAATCGTATCTTTTATCAAGTCCTTCGCATAACTGTTGCAATAATACAACAGGTATAAAGTATATCTCGGAAAGTTCAAACGTCAACGTAAAAATGAAATTAAACTCACTATATCTTGTCCTCGGAAGTACCCGTGATTTGGACAAGTCGTTCTTTGGCTCCAGGGTTTACTGTGAAAAAATACCACATTGGACTAATTGTATTTTTGATATAGCACGTAAAACTTCGTAATAATCAAAGTTTGTTTCATAAAAGCGATCTGTATTATGGTTAATGTATCATATATAAATATAGACACTTTTCAAACATTTCAAGACAAATTATTGGAGGATTAAAACATTATTAAGATCGGTATTAATTGTAGACGAGATACTCTGTGAAAGAAGAATACTTTAATATTTAAGTGGATGTGTGTGAAATTGTAGTAAGCGATTTTAAGCGGTAAAATTATTTGTATTAAAGATGTGAAATGATGCTCATAACAAATTATTCGTATCTGAATATTTCTTAATAAGCTGTAAACACAATGCATGATATGCTTGGTGATCATTACATGATAATAATTAACCTATTGCACAATAAAAAAATAATGTGAGCAATTAAATATCCGAAGCTTAAGCAGGACAGTTTCGATCACTTCTGTATACGAATCTTTTAACGAATAAATAAAGAACATAAAAAATGTGTTTCATGCAAATGAAAGTAAAAATACATGTTAAAACACAAAATAAATAAACAAACAAATAAATAAATATATATATTGTGTATATATATATATATATATATATATATATATATATACATAC